GACGTTTCACCTCTCATCCGAGAAGCTTCTTCAGTTCTAAGAGTCAAATGGTGGAGAGTCCCAGATTTAAACCCAGTGGGAGTTTCCCCCCAAAGAGGGACAAAGGACCCCCTGATGATCCTCTACCTAATCACATGAGCCAAGGTGTGAACGGGTGTGGGTCACAATCAGCCAGGGTTTCGGGTGAGCTCATTGTGAAACCTGGCCCCACCCATCATGTGATTCCTGTCAGATGTCACAGGAACAAGGTCCAGAAACTTACCCTGGATCCAGATGAAACCATGGTGTCCTTTGATGTAGTCTCTCTCTTCACTTGCATACCCACCACGGAGGCCGTGGAGACTGTCAGAAAACGACTACAAGAAGACAGCTCCTTGGAGGACAGGACCAACTTCACACCCGATCAGATTTGCACACTGTTAGACCTCTGCCTCACCACTACATATTTCAAATACAACGAAGGCTTTTACAGACAAACATGCTGCCATGCTCCCGTGTCACCTATTGTAGCCAACCTTTACATGGAGGAAGTGGAAAGAGAAGGCTCTTGGCTCTTTTCAAAGGAAGAGTACCCAGCCACTGGTACAGATATGTAGACACACCTGGGTCAAAATCAAGACACAAGAAGTGGAATCCTTCACTGCGCACATTAACGCATGGATAAAAACATCAAGTTCACCAGGGAAGACACAAAGGATCGAACTGTTTGCCTTTCCTGGACTGCGCTGTGCACATTGAAGAGAACGGCAACCTCAACATTCGAAGTTTACCGGAAGCCCACACACACGGACCAGTACCTCCTCTTTGACTCCCATCACCCTCTGGAACACAAACTTGGAGTAATTAGGACCCTACACCACCGGGCAGAACATGTTCCCTCTAAGCCTGAAGGGAAAAAGAAGGAACACACACATGTAAAGGAAGCACTCTAAAACATGCGGCTATCCTAAATTGGGCGTTCTTAAAGTCAGCAAAGAGCACAGAAAAGAAGATCAGACACCAGCGAGGGAGGATAAGAAGACAGACGCAACAACATTGTCATCCCCTATGTAGCCGGTGTATCAGAAGAAACTCAGGAGAGTTTTCTCCAAGCATCGACATCCCGGTGCATTTCAGACCCAGCAACACACTCAGACAGAAACTGGTTCATCCCGAAAGACAAAACGTCCAAAACACAAACTTAACAATGTGGTGTATGCTGTACAGTGTAGCGAGGAATGCCCAGACCTCTACATTGGAGAGACCAAACAGCCACTTCACAAGCGCATGGCACAACACAGAAGAGCCACCTCCACAGGACAAGACTCAGCAGTCCATCTGCATCTAAAGGACAAAGGTCACTCTTTCGAGGATGATTCACATTTTGGACAGAGAGGACAGCTGGTTTGAAAGAGGAGTGAAAGAAGCCATTTATGTCCACTGTGAGCGACCATCTTCCCTTCCCAGACACCTTAACACCCACTCACACCCTGGGCCATCTGACCTCAGGAAATCACATGATAGGGTGGGGCCAGGTTTCACAATGAGCTCACCCGAAACCCTGGCTGATTGTGACCCACACCCGTTTTCACACCTTGGCTCATGTGATTAGGTAGAGGATCATCAGGGGGTCCTTTGTCCCTCTTTGGGGGGAAACTCCCACTGGGTTTAAATCTGGGACTCTCCACCATTTGACCTTAGAACTGAAGAAGCTTCTCGGATGAGAGGTGAAACGTCTTCAAGCAACTTAAAGAAGTCCAGACGCTTTTCTTTGCAAGCTCCTTAGACTACGATGACCTGGATGACTGAGAACCTTCACAGACAATCAGGAGGCTACTTGATCAATAACAGATCTGCTCTTTCAGAGGCGGATTTACGCAGTGACTCAGATCTCCAGTCACTGACTTTACAAGACCTGGGTTTGCTGTTCCCTGGAGTTAAAAATGTCAAACTGAGAAGGGATATCTTTGATATAATACACAAGCAGGTAAGCAAGCAAGCTGTGTATAACTGAGAGGAGAGGGATTCAGCTGTATGTGTGTAACCCATATAGAAAGTCAGATCTGGACAATAAACACTTTTATTTGTTTTTCTTTGTTTCAGAAACCAATTGGTGAGCTCATAGAAAAATCCAAGCACTTCATCCCACATGACTTCTCAGGGGTAAGTACAGCCTGCTAACATTGTTGGCTCTTGCATTTGATTGATTTGGATAGCGGAAGAAAATAGATGGATGGATGGATTTAGGATGTTTTGGGGAAGTTTTAAAATATCAGATGCAGATTCTTATACATAACCTTAAACTTTCCATCCAGCCGCCTTAACCGAAAATGGAGTTTTGGTCGACTACCTGAAAATGTTGAAGGAAATGAAGACCCAAATGAATAAAGCAATTTCCTTGATCACATATCAATCTACTGGAGGACCTCAGGAAATCTCAACCATCGCAGAACCAGGACAAAGGTTTTTAATCCAGTTTTCTATCTGATCCAGTCCATTTATGCTGAATATTCATAAGCCATGTCTTTGGTATTGAATAGACACAATATCTGACCACGGCTCAACCTTCTTTGCTTTTACATCTATTTTTACATGAATCCATAGAATTTAAATAACAGAGTCTCAATTAACATGTCATTCTGCCCATGCCATGCTCAGAGCAGTCTGTGTACAAAAAGTGTTACATTTTGTACATGAATCACAAACACATGGAAAAGGTAAAGTCAGTCGAAATTCTGCTATGTTGTCGTTCACAGGATAGATTTTCAGAAACCCCTTACATATAGTATAAAACTATAGTATATGACGATATATATTATTACTTAAGTACAGTTAAGATTTTTACATACATTCATAAGTTTTTTTTTTTAATTTCTTGTAAATGCGTTATGCCAATGTACTCAACAGGTTCTTTGTCAAGTGGTCCAGTGAAGCGCCACAATAGCCAAACCAGTGACCCTCCACAAATGCAACAAGGTAAATCTCACCTTGTTTTTCTTTGCACTCCAGTAAAATTTAACACAGGCTATTGTTACATTTTAATGCTGTTTTACATGAAGGTTTATTAGATACAATTACCAGTAGTGCAATGTTGTCCCCACCAAGGTAAATTTAGCTCTTCACAGGTGTTAAGGTCAGTGTTGGGAAGGTTACTTTTAAAATGTATTCCACTACAGATTACAGAATACATGCCCCAAAATGTATTTTGTAACGTATTCCGTTACATTACTCAATGAGAGTAATGTATTCTGAATACTTTGGATTACTTAATATATTATCATGCATTTTTACAACTACATGAATGTACTATTGCTGTGTGATTTATTACTATTACTGAAGGCTACTCACCTTACCAATACCAACTAGATTTTTAAATCTTAATATAAAATGAGTAACAGTAGGGTGGACATTTTGCAGCAATCGCGTGGTTATAGTGGGCGGGGCTGCGCATGTACTCCAATAACCAATGCTGGATCACAGCATGACCAAACTGTTCAGTCAGTCTACTTTCACTTTTTGTTGACCGTAAACGGTGGGTGTTTTTTTGATGAAGCTAGAATAGACTGACAGTACAATGCAAATATCTACATCTAACAGTATTGGGGGTTTTTCATCCCAGCATCTTCTCTTTTGCTCCTGCAGGCCCAGCTTGCACAGCAGGTCTGTTTCCATGTTGTTTAGATGTCATGCCGATCCAATAGGATAACAGCAACAAAAATTTCCAACCTCTGTTTTCTCTGATTTTTTTCTTCTCTTCTGCAGAGGAAAACGTTTGTGTGTGTACATCAGTATAATCGGTATACAAAGAAAGTGCATGACAAAAGTTCCTGCTTGGAAACTGAAAGTGCGTAAGATGGCAGTTATTTTTGAATTATTTATTTACTGTTGAAATTAATAAGATCGCATTAAATTTAAATTACCTATATTGATGTGGAACTCTTAAAAAAAAATTAACATAATTAACTTAGAGGTCTCCTTTAATTAAATGAATCTCTATATATCGAATTTATATCATTTGCTTCTGCTTCATTTCGTCATAAAGCCTGTTGAATTTTACTGGAAATAGTCTTTCGGCACTTGGAATGTTGGATCACCTGACTCTAAATAGCACATTTTCAACCCCCTACCACCACTGATAGTGGTCTACAGCAATCCATGCAGAGATTTGTAAGTTTGTCCGATGTTGACTTACATAATTTTGGTCCTAAAACCAGTCATTTCATCAAGTTTGGGCTGCCGACACCTTTTGTTGATACTCGAACTGGCTAGGCTAACAGCTCCCACAGTTTCTGTGCTCACTGCAACAGTGTTTTGCATTTAGATGATACCATAAGGTTGAAGTGCTTCGGTGGTATCGCAAACTCCTTTTTGCACAGTTTGCACAATAACCAGCTTTTATCAAGGCTTCTCGTCGGGTAGTCTTTTGAAAGAAATTTGCCTCCATCAGTACTGAGCACACTTTTCTTCTGTTTATAGCCTGATTATTATTATTTTTCAAATTAATAAATCGCAATTAACATGTTAACACACACACACACACACACACACGTGTGTATATATATATATATATATATATATATATATATATATATATATATGAGATAGATTTTTATATATAGATTTTTGTATATATATATATATATCTATATCTCAATATGTGTCCCCTTGTTGCAACAATTGAGTATAGGTGTCAGAAACACCTGGACTACCTTATGCCGCAAACTAATAATAATTAAAAAAAAAACACAAAAGTAATTATAATGAAATGATTTGTATAATCAGCCTAATCTTAACGTGTCGTAAGTTCATGAGTGTAGATTCAACAGGCATCCATTTTTTTAGTCAGTAATTCAAACACTGCTGGCTTTTCATTTAGTTGATTTTATGTATTTCTCACTGGTTAGAATTAAAAGTAAAAGTGCAAACATTTGTGTAATTTTATCTGATTTAAGTTCCTGCCACAAAATCCGCTGGTGTAGCAGTCTGCTTCAAGTGGAAAAGGTCAAGTCAGTCGAAATTCTGCTATGTTGTCGTTCACAGGATAGATTTTCAGAAACCCCTTACATATAGTATAAAACTATAGTATATGACGATATATATTATTACTTAAGTACAGTTAAGATTTTTACATACATTCATAAGTTTTTTTTTTTATTTTTTCAAGCAACTTAAAGAAGTCCAGACGCTTTTCTTTCCAAGCTCCTTAGACTAGTCTCCTGATTATACATTATAAAAGTTATTATTGTTTGTTGTTGTGATTTGGCGCTGTATAAATAAAACTGAGTTGAATTAGAATTATAATTCAATTTATGGCTTTGTTAGCTTTTTTCTTGTTAGTTTGCAGCATAATGGAGGAACAATGGAGCCTACTTAGTGTAATATATTTATGCCTATTTACATCTTATTTACTCTGACAGTAAATATTCTCAAAAAACTGCCATTTACCTTCCAGTTTATTGGCTGCCACTCCATCCTTGAGTCTTATTTCCTTAAGCAAAATATCCATGATTTCACCTGCAGAAAAGAAGAAAAAATCAGAGAAAACGGAGGTTGGACATTTCTCATACTGTATAGTTCATGTTTCTGTTCTCCTGTTGGATTGACATAACATCTGCACAATGTGGAAACAGACCTGCTCTACAAGCTGGGCCTGCAGGAGCAAAAGAGAAGATGCTGGGATGAAAAAAACCCCAAAAAACAAATACTTTTAGCTGTAGATATTGTTGATCACGTTGTCAGTCTAGCCAAGCTGATCACAAAATGCCCATCATTTCAGAATTAACCCACAAGGTTTAGTGTTCATGGGAATTTGTGAAGTCAGACGTTGATGTTGACGAGAAGGCCTGATTCCCAGTCTCCACTCTAATTAATCCCAAAGTTGTTGTGTCGGGTTGAGGTCAGAACTCTGCGCAGACCAGTCAAGTTCTTCCACACCAAAGTGGCTAATTGATGACTTTATGGACTTTGCTTGGTGCATTGGTGTGCAGTCATGTTGGAGCAGCAAGGGCCCATTATTGACTAAAAAAATGGATGCCTGTTAATCTGTCCGTTACATTGAGAGAATAACATGTCAACTGAGACTTCATGTCTCTGTTATTTCCATTCTGTGGATTCATGTAAAAGTAGATGTAAAAGCAAACAAGCCTGAGCTGTGGCCAGATATTGTGTCTATTCAATATCAAAGACATGGCTTATGCATATTCAGCATAAATGGACTGGATGAGATAAAAAGCTTTACCTACATTAAGTTGAAGTTTGCTACCCTCTGTAAAAGCTTTGAATCTGCACTCATGAAATTAAGACACGTTAATATTAGGCTTAAAAAACTGGATTAAAAACCTTTGTCCTGGTCCTGCGATGGTTGAGATTTCCTGAAGTCCTCCAGTAGATTGATATGCGGATCAAGGAAATCTTTATTCATTTGGGTCTTCATTTCCTTCAACATTTTCAGGTAGTCGACCAAAACTCCATTTTCAGTTAAGGCAGCTAGATGGAAAGTTTAAGGTTATGTATAAGAATCTGCATCTGATATTTTAAAACTTCCCCAAAACATCCTAAATCCATCCATCCATCTATTTTCTTCCGCCTATCCAAATCAAATGCAAGAGCCAACAATGTTAGCAGGCTGTACTTACCCCTGA